CGGGGGTGCGGGCCGCCGGCCCCTGCCTCCCTCATGACCTTGGGGAAGCGGCTCCGCCGGGCGAGGCCCGGGCCGCGGCGGAGGGGTGCGGCCGGGCGCCGAGGGCCGGAGGCTGGGATGCCCTTGCGGCCGGGGGCTCCCCGGGCGCCAGGCCAGCGGGGCGCGGCGCACAGGAGGTGCTCGGGGGGCTGAGGAAAAGGCTCGCCCCGGCCCTCGTTCAAGTTTGTGGGTGGGCCCTGGAAGGAGACCTCGTTTTCTCGTAGACAGAAAGTTGTACATGGTGGCTAGGTGCCCAGGCCAGCCCACAAAGGACTACAACCCTCCTGGGCCCAGAAACTGGTTCCTGACCTGGGTGGGTTCTGGAGTGCTCTCCACCCACCCCAGAGGCTGGGGCCTGGAGGGCGGCTGGGCTCTGTGCCCCGACCTGGGGTATCCCGGGGCAGCTAGTGAACTTGTCAGTGGGTGGGACTGCTTCCTAAGTGTGGCCGGGGTGGACAGAGCTGGGGCCACGCGCCGCGGCGTTCACTCCTGGCCCCCTCCCACCTAGCTCCAGACCAGCCCTGTCCGTTCTGAGCCCCTGGTCTAAGTAAGGATCGGGGTGCACTGGTGGAGGCTTGGTTCCCTGCCACCTAGCCAGACATAACAGATCATAAAACAGTGTTTTGGAGGCAGAGGGAGAGGGCCCCTTCAGAGCACAGATGATGATTAATTTTTTAAAGTTGTGACTTAAGTAATATTAGCAGTAATACACCTGTATGGTGCAGGCACCCCCAGTCCAGAGGCAGCGGGAAACAGAGGACCCCTCCGTGCCTCCCGCCCTGTGCCCAGAGGCAGCCCGGGCGCTGGCTTGCTGTGCGCATTTCTGTGCAGATGCACACTCCCTGTGTGTGCGCGCAGATACACTTTTGCATACGGGGCTCTCGGCAGCTGTCTGACTCTGTCAGTGGCAGGCCTTGCTCACACCCAGCTCGGGGCGGGGCAAGTCCAGAGGTCTTTGAGTCCAGCCCTCTGCCTCCAGGCCACGCCCACCCAAGTGTCAGCAGAGTCCCCTGTACCTGTATGCCCTGTGGAGCTCAGAGCCCGGTCCTCGTGGGGCCTTCCTCCAGTGTCGCCATTCCTGCCTGTAGGCCTGCGCTTTCTTCAGGCAAGGGCATCTTTCCTCTCCTTGTGTCAGACACGGGGCAGTGAGTGGGGTCTTCCTGTCCTTCCAAATTTAGCCCAAGATCGTCAGTGCACAGCGACCTTCTCTGGATGCCCAGCCCATGCCTCAGGAGGCCAATAAGCTGCGCTGCAGGAGAGTGTCCAGGCGGCTGTAGGAAGACCCACATTGAGGCGGACTTGTTCCAGAGTACTCAGGGTCTCTGCCGGGCCTGAGGGGGTCCCAGGGAGGGGTCTTTCCTGGCCTGCCCTCAGGAGTGCCCATCAGGAGGGGCAGCAGAGGACTGTTCACGGGAAGAGTGTCCTCTCGCAGGATGCCTGGAACCAGTGACGTGGGAACTGGGTTTTGAGGGATGCCTAGGAGTTCATCTGGTGGTGGAGCCATGGGGAGGGCCGTACAGGATCAATGACCAGAGTGTCCAAGGCGGCTGGTGGGCCACTGCGGGGCGGTGCCAGTGCCTCTGCATTTGTGCAGGCACCCCGGCACCCCCCCACCGTTTGTTGCTTCCTGAATGCTGTGATTATGGGTCTGTAACCACCCTGGACTGGGTGCTCGTTACAGACAGGGCTCATCTGAACCTCTCTTTGTCCGCAGCGCCCAGTGCTGAGCCTGGCAAAACCAAAGATGCTGGGTACATGTGGGCCGAATGAATGAACCAGATTCAGACTGGCAGGGGCGCTGTGGTTTAGGAAGGGCTTGGGGTTTCTTTGGGGTGGATGTGAGGGGGGTTCATGTCACCCTGGAGGGCCCCGGGCTCTCGTTTGCACTAGCTGCCTGCACTCCTGGCCCTGCCTTCTTCATGTTTGAATTTCTCTCCTCTCCCAGTCTGGGGCAGGGAGGAGGAGCCCTGTGTCTTACCTGGGAACCCCAGCCTGAGGGCAGGAACACCATGGACAGGGAGAACTAGGCACCCTCACCAGAGGATTGGGGAGGCTGAGTGGTGTGGGCCGAAGCAGTCAGGGGGGTCTACCTGGAAGAGTTGGCTTCTGCTGGGTCAGCAGGTTAAGGAGGCCAGGATATACCAGGAGGGCCTTTTTGGGGAGGGAGTGATTTGTACAAAGGCCAGGAGGTGGGAATGAGGGCGATAAGGGGGGACAGTGAGCTCTGAGGGCTTGGGGGTCCAGGAGAGGTGGTGGCAGGGGACTTGAAACCCAGGTGGAGGGGAGGCCTTGGCCCAAGGAGCCATGTGAGTGACATGAACTCTATCAGGTTCCGTGGCAGGAAGGCAGTGCTGGGGGTGGCAGTGTCTCTGAAGGCTCCCCTGGGGGTCTGAGGAGTGTCCCCAAGCCCAGCACAGCCTTACACTTCCCTTTGCTTCTTCCAGAGGCCGTAGGTGGTGGTTGGGCTCGGGGAGGACCCTGCTGAAAGGAGTGTGAGCGTGGTCTGGGCTGTGTCAGCCCACAGGAGCCTCGGCACCATGAATGACGTGGCCATCGTGAAGGAGGGCTGGCTGCACAAACGAGGTTAGTGTGTGCGAGGCAGCCTGGGCTGGGGGTCCCCAGCTTGCCTGGGCTCCTCAGGTGGCGAGGTGCGGGCAGCCTGGGCTCCTGAACTGGTCCGGGTGAGCGTCTGGGGCCCAATGTCCCTGCAGCCTGAAGGGCGCAGCCTCATGGGACCTCCCGGGCAGGGATGTGAGCCCTGGGGTGGCATGTGGCCTGTAGAGTGTCTGCCTGGCGGGGCTGCGGGCGGGGAGAGCCACCCGCTTTCCTGGAAGGCGGTGAGGACACTGGGGCCCGTCCAAGGCCTGGCACACTGGCGGCCCGGGGCACTGCCCGAGGGCTCCTGAGGGCAGGGCTGGGCCACTTGGCCTGGCCCAGTGCCAGCCTCAGGCCTGGCCAAGGAGGGGAGGTGGCTCTGCACCAGCCAGGGCCCTGGCTTAGGGTGTGTTTGTGCTAGAGTGGCAGAGCCTGGTGCCCACCCGGCCTCCCCTCTCTTCACTCACAGGGCCCTGTTCCCAGGGAGGGCTGGGCCAGGAGCTGGTTGGATGAGCACCTGGGCCTTGGCCTCACACTTTCCTAGCCCTGCCTATGGCCCCCTGCCCTGCTCCCCTCAGATGCTTAGGGGTCAGCATTGGGGGGATGGACAGGCCACATGGCCAGGGGCCCTGGGCAAGTCACTCCCTCCTGCTCCAGGTTGGGGATTGGCCAGTCACCACCCGCCCTCCCCAACTTCCTCTTCCTCCAGACCTGTTCCCTCAAGGCGATCCCACTCTGGCTAGCCACCAGCCAAGTCACTCCTCACGCATGCCCTCTAGGGAGGGTATCCCCCTCCCCACCTCAGGATCCCACAGGCTGTTGGTGGGGGGTACCTGAGACACAGATGGAGCAGACAGGCATGGCAAAAGTGAGTGTCATGACACTGGGTTTTGTGGGATGCATAGGAGCTCCCCAGCAGAGCAGGCTGGGAAGCTGCAGGAACTGCGGTGGGAAGCAAAGCAGTGACAGAGATGAGACATCAGGGGGGCTGCAGAGGGCTTGGAGCAGGGCACTGAGGATGTGGTCATCTGTGTGTGTTTAGTGCTCATTTTGGCAGCTGCAAGAAGGACAGTGCGCTGGGCCTTGAGACCTAAGCGAGGAGGCTGCGGGCGCCTGTGGTCGGTGGTGAGCCCCTCTGCCTGGCGTCCCCCAAAACTTCCTGCACCTGCCAGCCTCCCCCCATGGTTACGCCTTCGTGATGCCAGGAGGACGTCTTCTTGTGCTGGGAGCCCCCTTCATCAGGTCCTGCTCTGTCTGGGTCTCACAGCCCTCTTGGTGTAAGGGAGCCCCTCCCTGACCCAGTCCCCATCCTCCCCTCTCTGCCTGGTGGCAGCACAAGAACACACCGGGGACCCTTACCTCTTGATCCTTGGCAGATATTTGTTGATTGCCTGTTAGATTAAGGACCAACCTAGGAGATGCCTGGGCCTTAGGGCTGCCAGGGCCCCTGTCCCAGTTACTCGGGCACCCACTGGGCAGCCAGGGGCAGGAGGGCGTGCCCTCTGACGCCCGGGTGCATCTCAGAGTGCCACTCAGGGTGTACGTTCGGAAGGCGCCGGGGGCACAGGGCATTAGGCCCTGTGGGGCTTCCAGGGAGCTGGATTTTAACCTGATTCGGCCGCCCTGTCGCTGTGTCCTTCTCCAAGGGCAAGTCTGTTGATTCCTCTGTGGAGGTGGGGGAAAGCCGGAGGGAGCAGAGAGCATGGTTTGTCGGGAGGCCCCAGGGACGGGGTGCAGCCCTGCTGCCCAGCCCCAGTCTCAGGCCAGGAGAGAGGGTCCTAGCCCCCCACTGCCTGGGCTCTTCCTCCAGCCTTCGTGCTAGCCCGGGCAGGTGGTGCGGCAGGGTGGCCGGTCAGGGGCAGCGCTGGCCCTCTGTGGCCCAAGAGGGGACGTTCCTGCCCCGATGGGTGCCTGGCTCCGGGCCTAGGCCCCGGGTCCCACCTGCACTGCTTGCCCTGCCTGCCCTGCCTGCCGTGGAAGGCCTGCCCTCGAGGACGCCCCCTCCTCCGCCGGCCCCTGGCTCCTGGGGACCCCGTGCATCGCAGACGTGTCCCGTCGCCCCCACTGCTGTCTCATTCTCTCTGGCCTCCCAGCCGTCCCTTCTCCCGTCCTTATATACGCACAAGTGGTTGGGCCTCTCCTGCGTGCTCGACGTTGGGGTGACTGGGCGGAAGGGGCGGGGGGTGGGCGAAGGCTGGGTTTGGGTTAGGTGTTGGGGAACTCAAGGGCGACCCCAGCGTGGGGCTGGAAGTACGTGGTGGCGTTCTTTCCCGGGGAAAGCGTGCATTTTCTTGGCTGGGGCAGTGGCAGGATCAGGCGGCCTTGGTCCGCAGGCAGGTGGACATGTGGGTTGATACACTTAATGGGCGGGAGGGTGGATGGTCTGAAGATGCTTCCGCACACGTGCTCCCCTCAAGAGGCCTCCCTGCCTGCGTCCCCACCCCTTCCTCTCAGGAGGAGTTGGAGGAACGGCTGGAGGAGGGAGATGAGCCTCTGTGGGGGCGGCTCTGGGGAGTGGGCAGAGGGCTCCAGCCCTCGTCGGCCCCCCTCCCCATCTGTGGCCAGCAGGGTCATGTTGGCCCAGCCCCTTCTTTGGCCAGGGGTCCGATTCTGCGTGGAAGTGGGGGTAGTTAGGACGGTCCTTCAGGACCCAGCTCCTCACAGACCCGTGCGCCCCCACTCCACACCCCCACGCCCTGCTGTTCCTGCTCCTTCTTACCCCGAATATTGGGCGGCTGCTGTGGGATAAAGGTCTGCCCCTGCCCAGTCTGCCGCCTGCCTGGTATCCTGCCTTGGGCCTGCACATGAGGGGTGACGGTACCTTCAGAGGCTGCCTGGGGGTTAAGTTGAGAGTTGAGGGGTGGGGGACAGACCCCTGGGTCCTGCTCCTCCTCCCAGCCCTGGGGACATGGGCTCCCATCTCTTGGGAGTGCCTCAGGCTACTTCCCTGGGGTAGAGCAGCCAAGGAGGCAGAGGAGAGCCCGGCTGGGCAGCCAGCGTGGCATCTCTGGTCCCAGCCTTGTGCTGACCTGCCAGACCCAGGCAAGTCCTCTGGGCGTTGGTGCCCCTGAGTGTCCAGCAGGGAGCTGGTCCCCAGGAGAGTGAGGTCAGGCTGCTAAAGGCCCAGAAAGTAGTAAAGAGGAGGGTGGGGCCGGGTGAGGTCAACAGGGACTGGGGGCAGATGGACATCCCGAGCTGTGAGTAGGTGTCTCCAGAGGCGGGCAGACTTCTTGAGTGAGAGCGGGACATCCCGTGTGACAGGCAGGCGTCCCGCATGGTGGGCAGACACCCCAAGTGGTGGGCAGCCCTGCTCCAGCCCTGGTGCTGGGGCCGGCGGACGTGGTGCTGCTCAGATCATTGTTAAAGATTCGGTCTGTTACGTGCGCTCTCCTGATTTTTAAAGGTTGATAGTTTATAAAATCCACCCTCCTTCAGGGTCAAGGTCTGGCTGGGCTTGGCCCAAGGCCTCTGGCTTGCAGACTATGTTCTGTGTGCAAGGACCCAGGCCTGAATCTGTGTCCCCAAGGCCCTATAGTCCCTGCCCACTTGCCCTGGTGCCTGCTGGGCTGTGCATCACCTGGGCTGCCACCCAGCCCCGTGAAGAGCTGCTCCTTCACCAGGAAAGCCCTACTTGCAGGGTACCATGCTCGGAGCCTGTGGTGTGGGTAGTGGCCACACATCCAGGCCTGTGACTGTCCTCCTGGGTATCCCTAACCCATGGACGGGCCAGCTGGACCAGATGGGCTGGGAGAAAGCAGGAGCCTAGCCAGATGCTGGGCCCAGGGTGGAGGAAGGGACTGCAGGCTTGCACAGCTGAGCAGGGCCTGGGTAGGGGGGAGGGTGCCACCCTCGGGCACCCCTGGGCTCAAGAGGGACCAGCAGAGGAGCCACCAGGCCACAATCTGGCAACCCAGGGTTGAGGGGCAGGTGGAGGAGATCCAGCCTGTGGATGTGAGGATCTTCTCACCCCTGGGATCCTACGAGGTTTGCCCGGCGTGTGCACATATGTGTCTATGTCCCAGCTTAACTTCACCTCTGGGAGTGGCGGGCCTGGCGGGGCCCTGTATCCATGGAGCTGTGGGGGCCAGTGCCTGGTGCGTCTCAGGCCTTGCTGTGCCTCCTACGCTGAGCCATTTCTGGCTTGCACCCTCCCCCAGCTCCAGGCCAGAGTGGGCAGGCCCTCGTCACCCCTGCTGAGCTGGTCCCAGGTGTCTGGTGGGGAGTGGGTTCCTGGGCCCTGGCTCCTCCCCCACCCCCAGACCAGGCCAGATCCTGCTTCCTGGGATGGCCATGGGCATTACCTGCCCCTCAGGTGGCTCTGAGCTAGAGAGATGGTGGTTCCACTTGCTGCCACAGGCCCCCACTCATCCCCAGTCCTGGGGTCCCACAGCAGGGAGCCCTGGAGGGAACAGCCTGGCTCCCCTTTAGAGGGGCCGGCAGCAGGGGCTGAGGCCTGCGGGGGGTTTGTTGATCCCCTTCTGAGCATGCACTGCCTGGAGGCCCTGCGGGGTTGATGGTGTGCACGTGCATGCTGCTAGTGGCTCTGCGGGCGTGAGGGGCCCCTAGGACCGTTTGGAGGGGGGGTGCTGCTTCCCTCTCCCTGCGCCCGGGCTGGAGGATGGGCTGTCCTGGGCCTCCTGCCCCTCAGTTTCCCTGGCTGTCGGGTGAGAGGTGCTTAGTTCTCGTCCAGGACGTGCTGCAGTGGATCTGGCTTTGGTCTGAGGGTCCCCTCGGTCTACTGAGGCAGCTCATGCAACACTGGCCTCCACAGGGGTCCAGCGCTGCCCGGGGGGCAGGTCAGTGCAGGCGGCCAGGCCTGAGGGCCTCTGCTCCGAATGACAGTGCCCAGGATGGAGGGCGCCTGCTTCTGGAGGGGTGCTCCTGAGGCCGCTGGTGGTGGCACGAGGCTGTTGCTTGTGGCTGTGGCCAAGGCTGGCCGGCTGGCGTGGGGCCAGGTTTCCTGTTTTGTGAGTGTGTTGAGTTTTCCT